CCACCGCCACCCCCCGCCGCCCCATTCGAGGGCTGCAGAAACACGTTGATGTCGCTACCGACCAGATCGCCTTTGCCTAAACGAACAAAAAGAATGTTTGGTGATGGTTACAACAAATTACTTGATGGGGTCATTTCGTGACCGGTCTGAAGCGCCTCGCTCTTACCCAGGATGGCGACGACCATGTTGTCCTGGACCACCTCCATGGAGCCGTGGCACAGGTAGTAGATGTAGGCGAGCGCGTCCCCGCGGTGGATGAGATACTCCCCGGGCGCGCAGAAGTTGGAGCGGATGTGGAGGGACAGAAGTTTCAGGCAGCCGGGGGAGGCCGTCTCGAAGATGGGCAGCTGCAGGATCTCCCGGTGAAGGTGCAGGCAGACGTCCCCGCGCAGCTCCTCGGGGAACTCTTTGAGCGTCTGTCGCAGAAGACAAAGAGAGACGTAACAGACGTGGCCAGCTGGGGGGCGAGCGGGCTGACGCTGACAACAACAGTGTTACAGAGGGGCAGGGGGTGTGGCACGGCTGCCACCCCACCTTGGGGGTTCAATGTATTTTTAAAGGAGTGAAAAGGACGCTGACTAATAATCCCCTGTTTTTCATACTGCGCAACAAACCGCCCTTGTCATTCTATTCCTCAGGCCTCGGCGCTGACGGCGGCTCGGCGGCGGCTTCGGTGACAGGGCGGCCCCCGCCGGCCGCGATTAAGACACGGGGGCTATGATAAATTGATTCAGCAGGAGGCAGACGGGAAGGGAAAAAAACGGTTTGTGGGAAAGGGGGATGGGAAAAGGGCCGGGAGAGGGAGGGGGCAGGGAGGGGTGCGGGGTACAGCGACGACGCGACGCCCCAACCTTTCCTTTCTTCGGGGAGACAAGAGGGACTCATCTCATGAAAAGCAAGACAGCCCAGCCGGGCGTGCGGGGGGAGAGGCCGCACGGGCTATGGGATGGGCCGGCCCGGCCGGAGGAGCTCCCGCTAGCGGTGCTGCTGGCTCAGGAGAACAGACTCGAGTCGGAAGTCCGGGCCCCGCCGGTTCTCCTCGTTACACCAATGAGCCCCCACTTCCGGTTTCGATATCCCGTGCGTCCAAGACGGACTACCCCTGTCCTCTGTCGCGCCACCACAAGCAGGCCTCGAAAGGGCCTCTCCTCTCCGTGCAGCGTTTGATAGGCACGAAGACATCTTATTACGAAAGGAGCCATAAACGTCATAACCGATGTTACAACCTCTGCACCCAGAATTTTTTTTCCTTGAAAGAAAGGAATTTTCTTTAAAAGAATGAAGGAAATTGACCTCATATGAAAACTTGAAAAAAAATCTCAATGATTTTTCGTTGTTAACCGAATAAAATTTATATAGAACAAAGATTACTAGTTCGTCATTTTTTTTTTCAAGGAAACGATTATCTGTGGGCCCGTGCGGTGGGGCGCCTGCGGCACTCACCTCGTGGATGTCCAGGCCGTGGTTGAGCGACCACATGGTCTGGAAGTAGTCTTCCATGCGGCGCTTGAGCTCCTTGGGCACCTGGTGCAGTGCCAGGAAGTCCTTGAGGTCTCGCCACTTGGTCTGGTATAGCGAGCGGCGCGAGTACATGCGCTGGATGATGGCCGTCACGTTACCGAACACGGCGGCGTGCATCAGCGCCCCGACCAGCATCGTCACGATGCTGAACGTCTTCTCGGCGTACGTGTTGGCCGAGACGTTGCCGAAGCCGACGCTCGTCAGCGACGAGCACGTGAAGTAGAGCGCCGTGATGTACGACTCGGAGTGAGAGACGTTGGCCACGCTCAGCTTGAGCCGGTCCGCCAGCGTGTGGATCCACCCTGCGGAAAGGAAACGGAAACAGTTATAACGAAAACAATCTTAGCCTATCCTGTGGTAACTAGTAGACTACTATTTCCCGAAAATAAAAGTGCTCTGGAATGCAAAGTTGGGCGAGGACTGAGAAAACCCTGGTGTTCATTGATATCTGGCGTCGTTCGGACATTTCGAAATGTTATGTACCGCCTATCGATTGATCGCAGGTCAAGATAACAGTATCCCACTCCGGTGTTAAGACCTGCTGTACGTATGCATTAAATGGGAAGAGACGATTTTGTCCCAAGAAAGTACGTGATTTTGTCACATCGTTCGCTCGGGACGAATTATTAAGAGGAATTTTTTGGTAGTACTATTTCAGGATACAAATTATCACAACAAAACGACCCAGTTTTTCTCAAGAGAACGATGTGCGCGAAATCGTCTGCATGCTCGAGATTTTTCTGCTCTCCTCGATTGCCGCGTCAAACATTTCGTTCCCATGGGAATTATTAATAGGCGATGATCATGTACTGTGAGAAAGGGGCGGCGGAGGAGGGGAAAGGGAGGGAGAGTGGGCTGAATTAAATATAGGAGGCTGGCTGGACTTGGCGAGAAGAGCAATCGAAAGAGGGATGGCGTGGACAGCCTATGGCCGCACAACACCAGAAATCACCCCATTTTTTTGTTGCTGCTGTGCGGCACTCCAGTTTTTAGCCGAGTGGGTGAGCGGTCACGCGCAGCATGTCGCCTGCACCCTTTTGTCTGTGATGCGTCATCTGCCGCCGCTTGGCGGGATAGAGAGGGACGGGAGGAGAGTGAGGGGAGCAGAGTGAGAGGAGAGAGAGAGAGAGGAGGGAGGGTAGTGAGGGGAGAGGAGGAAACGGGGGAAGCACTGTTAAAAAAAAAAGTCTGAAAATTCAGACAAATTGGTAGGAAGCAAAATTACATACTAAACGTCTGAAAATTCAGACTGTTTTGTCTGAATTTGTGGTAAATTTTCAGTTATCGTAGTCTGAATAGCAATTTCATAACTTTAGTCTGAATTTCAGATCTTCATTTAAAATGAATTTTTCTTGACGCTCTTTGCCCTCTCCTTCAAGTTGGGTTGTATTCTAAGTAATTAGATAGAAATTTGTTATTGTACCTTACCTACCTACCCGGAGTCGAACCTCGGACCTTTGGATTAGTAATCTCTCATCCTTGACCACACGGCCACGACGACAAGACTGAGGGCTCACCGACAGCTACCTGCCTGATCCTACAGGTGTGCTGCCGGGACTAAACTAAATATTCATACTTTTCTTGTCTGAATTTCAGAATCAGACCTTCGTCTGAATAAATACTCTGAATTTTCACATTTTCTTGACTGAATTCTTAATTCAGACCTACAGCAATGAAATTTCAGACGTTCACTGAAAATTATGACAAAATTGTATGAAAACCCAATTCAGACAGCAAAGTCTGAAAAAGTTAGTCTGAAATTTCAGTTTTTTTTTAACAGTGAGAGGGGGTGGGGAGGGGTGAAGCACACATGCGCGGCGGCAATTCGAAATGCATCGCGCCCGGGCCATTCCAGTCGAATAAAACTCGCGCGCGCCGCAATACATGGCGTGCCGAAGAAAAGAGCGGAGACAAAAGAAAACAACAAAAAACAACCGCGTCGAAGGTAATGAATCGCGGCCAAGCGAGGCCGCCACAGCTGCGGTTGGACCGTGGGGCCGTATGAGCGCCCGCAGAGAGCTTGAGCCGGAGCCGTTCTGCCCCGGCGTTCCTCGCATATATTGAGCAACAATGATAATGGAGAAAGGCCAATAACGTAACAAAAGAGAACAAAAGCAAAGACAAAGGAACGCGACAAAGAAGACACGGAAATGATTTTTTTTTGGGACCAAATACGAGCATAGCGTATCGGACGGAGTCTGTGCGCATACCGCGGTGCACACAACACACAGGCACACGCCGAGCTCTTCAGACATGATTGATTGGCAGGCTTTGCTTTGTGCCATGTACTCAGAGCAATCCTGCCTTCTATCGCCCCGACCGAACGCGCGCCAGTGTCTGTGGGGAGGGGGGGGGGCGTGTGTGCTGCAGCCCCCTCTCCCCACCTGCCGAGGGAGGGTGCCCCCCC